ATATTTAAAAGCAATTAAGTAAAACTCTTAGCGGGAACATTAGAAAAGGATCGAAATCTGTTGATTTCCAACGCTAATTACACCATATATCTGGAGGAGAAGAATTTTTAAAAGTAGAAAAATTGAGCAATTTATCCAAAGGCATTATTTTAGATAGATTAAAGGGAGATTTTTCAAAATATATAAAAGACACCGATTAAAATCTGTTTAAAACGTAATGGATCTTTCAACTAAAATTATCAGATAGCAGCGTGCACAAGTTCTTAATTTCCGCATAAATCGAGATAACAATTTTCGAGTCATTCAACTCTTGAACAGTTAATGTTGGCATGTTTGAAAATGCATAACACAACCTCTAATAGATGAGTAAAAACTCAAAATTATTATTGACTGTGATGGAGCCTAAGAGATTTCGAGGGGTTGTTCGTCCTTGAACGAATGATATAAGGATGTGACAAGTATAATTTTCTTAAGAAACGAAAGGAATTTCCTGTATCAGTCTATACGAGGAGGAGAGGAAAAAAAGAAAGAAAAAAAGGACAGAGAAAGATGAGTCGTATCACTTCAATAATGCTACAGTTTTGTTTTTATATAAATAAATACAATTTTTCTCATGAAGTGAAACAACATGTGTAGGTTTTTTTAAATAATATTATTATTAATATTATTATACTGAGAGAAAGAATATCCACGACGTGCGCACAGATGTCGACTGTACTTCAGAAAGGGCAGGTGGAGATGACAATCAATCTCTGCTACACAAAAGCGATAGACCAACTCACTCTTCCTCTGTATAATCCCACGACCTTCAAACATAACCAAACATAAGATATCAATTAACATTACTTTATCTGCAGAAAAAAAGCCTTGTTGATCAGGCTCTGCGAGATTCTGATAAGGCACACCGAAAACCATGCGAGCAGGTGAAAGTATTTAAAACGTGTTCAATGAATAGAAAACAGCACCTAGAATCCAGCATTTGTAATTATTACAACAGCACGAACTTAACTGATAAGAAGAGAGAGAGAGAGAGTGAGTGAATTCGACTATTTTCTGTTGCAGGGGTCGTTCACTCTTGATGACTCATCTCTAGATCTCCGACTGCAGTGAGCTACTCTTAAATTTCTCGAAAGTTTTTGATCTTTCATCACAATGACATTTTCTTTTTCGAACTAGTAAGAAAATTCTACTTAGATTTTTCTCATTTATTTCTCCTGCACGGTAAATTCGTAGCAGGTAACGTGAGGAAGGAAGCGAAGAAAAAATGTTGCAGATTTAATGAGCCATTTTAGAAACCATCTGAATGGATCATTTTGTCTTCGGGCGTATTCTTTACCAGTGAAGAGGGGTGGACACTGATGACGGAAGCTAAGTATTTAATGATACTTTCTACTCTCGGATTTCTGTTGGGATTCGTAAATTAGAAAATGACCACGCTTTCCTTTTGATACAAAGACGATTTTTTCTTTTCTTTTTATTCGGAGAAAACAAATTCGTTCTGGACTTGATCCTCTGCCAACGAACTATAAATGAAGAGAGTTAAAACTTACAAAGACACTATTGTCTTTCTCAATAGGCACGGGATTTATCAAACGAAACTACCTAAAATAGAGATTTTTACCTGTTAATAAACTAAAACCAGTGGCACAAATTGCTATTATTTAGTCTCCGAGAAAATCCTTATTATCATATCAATTAAATATACATTTCCTGATGTTTAATCTTTTAATTCTTCGACTGTTTGTAGCATCCGAGTCTCCTCGACGAAAGAAAATACGAGGAAATCTTTCATCATGAACTTACTGCACTAAGCCCTCTCTACTCGATTCGCTATCCAAACTCAAGAGAATGTTTATATAAAGCTAGCGATAATATTTTTTAAAAAGGGGGAGAGAAGACGTTGTGAGAAAGGGAAACTAAATATATCTCGTGGCGGAGTAGGGACAAGAGGAAGAAAAAACTCTCGGAGGACAGGCGTATAATAAAATAGACTAATAATAAAATATCCTGTGATCAACCATTTCCCGTGTCCTTCCTCTTAGGACGAGGGAAAAATAGAATCAGGATGTGTAGAGGGAGGGAGGAAGAAAGAAAAAAAGTAAAAGCATATAATTCCCTGGAGCCTGATAAAAAGTTGGTAGGCCGCAAATAACATTGAACCGTCTACAAATTGCTATATAGTCCATTGATTTCTAAAGGTTGAAAAACTCCCGTTGACGTCGTACAGATACATGAAAACAGCGAAAAAAAAAGCTCGCATATAATTATCCCACGGAAGTTAGGGGCATTCTATGTCTCGAAGACCACACCCTGTAGTTGCCAGTCGGTCTGTCCACGGCCTTACCTTAACTACCAAATGGATAATCTCATCAATTATTACTGCCGAACGGATCATCTATCATACGATTAGCTTGTGCAGCTACGATAATCGCAACACAGAGAATTAATCAGAAAATGGGGCATAAATGGTCCAAACGCACCCGACGCCACTACCGAAGAAGAATACGAAGTGTATTATTAGATAAATTGGTAAAGTCGGTTGGAGATAACACTCCGCCCAATGCGGGAAATCTCTCTTAATTATCGATAAATGATAAGAGCAGTATGGCCGTCACTCCGCCCAATTACGAAGAATGTCATCCTACCATTTAAGAAAATAAAATAATAATAATATCTCGAATGACACTCCAATCGTATTGCCATCTTCCCGATAAATCTTAAAAGATTTTGTAGATCTTAAAAACAGAGCTAACTTATTATTTTAATGCACTATACGGCAATATTCTCTTAAAATTTTTATCTACAAGTAACGGTTAAGTCAAACATAAATGATGATCTAAGAGAAATGTCATTCTAGATAAGAACCTTTACAGAACTGAAGATGAGTATCGCTTTCTTCCACTCCACAACTGAAGGGAAAGAAGGAAAAAAAAATGCATTTTTAACGTTAAGCACTCTACTCTTTCTAAACTTAGCGCTTACAGATCGAAGACTGTTCAACAAGTTTTCAACGTTTTTTCTAAAAGAAAATGTACGATTTAAACACACGAGCCCGCTTTTAAAACGTCACAATAAAAAAAAAAACAAAATAAAAGGAAGGATAATTGGCACTCTTCCAGACACCCACAGACTAGTTTTGCCCTTACAAAATGTCCGCTTTGGCTATAACGGGCCTGTGTTTGCCAAGCGTATGACAAACATATCCTTTACTACAGCAGATGTTATGTCGTCGGCTCGGAAATGAGACTATTCTGCTTGCAAGCGTCCCCCCCACGCAGGCCAGCTGGTCTAAGTACAGCAGTTTGTATTGAGACCACTATGACCTCATTTACTCAATGCATTTCTAGATTTCTAACCATTAACAAGTTTTTTCTTCTCCTTTTATGTACCCACGCTTCTTCATAATTGCCCCTTTAGAGTAGCTAAGATTTAAATGAGTGTCCTTAAACGCAATAAAACGATTTTTTAAAAGCGATCTGCTGAGAGTTCACTAACCTAACCAATATCTGAACAATAGTACATTTGCGGATCGGGTATATAAATCCCATTTTATTATCGCAAATTAGAATAATTAAGACGCTATAAAAATGTTATATTATTTTATTTTGTTTTAATTTGCTTCTATTTCTCGTTCTAACCCACCTTTCATCCTTCGTACGCAAAAAATCCGGAACGAAACCCTGTAATCTGGACTTGAGCTTCGAAACCAACATCCATCCATCCATTACTGGTGCGTGCATGAGGAAACAAATTTCGAACTATCCAAAAAAAGGTATCACAAACATGTCAAGGGTATCAGGTACTACATCTAGATTTCAAAAGCGTACTTTTCATCGCCAGCTAATTTTCGTGAAGAAATTGGGTATGGAGTACGTGCATTCCAATCTAGCTGCAAATGCTACAAAAAATTCCTCAAACTTGAGAAGGTTAGAACGACCCACGATAATCATTCACGGTAGTAATGTGTGGCATATAGTCTCCCTTCAATAATTCACACCAAAACGTATCCAAGCGTTACGTCACGCGTTAGCAATCGCTTCCGGGAACGCGTGTTGCAGCGAGTTTTGTTCTAAAAAGCACCCATTTTCGAAAACTGCTCCAATCGGTACAACTGGGAAAAGCAAATGCGAGAAAAAAAAATTTCCTCCAGCCATGGCATTACACATTATATTCGCTGCCAAAGCGAAGTGTAAAGTTTTATCCACGAAGTGAGCGTGTTTAAAGAGGGATAAAATCGATAATATCTATCTATTTTATCCCCGTTTTCTCATCTTCGTGCTTATATAACTGAAGCAAGAAGATCTATATTTCCTATCCAAGGTCTGGGGTGGTAAAAAATCCCTTCCCACGCCTCTTCTACAAACGAGAGTCGCCCACCGTCACCAAAGGACATCTGATCTTCGAGTAAATGTCCTTGTCGATGACAGAAAGGTAGAAAACCACACCAAGTTAACACAAAAGCGTTCGTGATAGGTAATTTATCAGAGACAACGCAACAACTCGATTAATCATCCTTTTTTTTTAACGCTTACAAAACGGGAAAAAATTAAACTTCGAACGAAGTGTGGGTAGCGATGATAATGATCCTCCACCTTCTTCCTGGTTGTTTTAGAAGCCGACAATGGATAAAAATCATCCGAGTGACCCAAATATCCTTTTCTCCTCCAGCAAAAAATAAAGGGCATTATCACAGATTCCCGAGAGGAGCCCCAAAATTTTTAAACATTGGCAAACTCGCGCTTCCGAGCAGCTGTCAATTTCACTGTACCACGTTGAAAAAAGAACGCCCGCCCGGTTCTGTATCGAGTATTATAAAAATACACGTGTATAATTATAATTAATGGGTTAAACTTCAATTAAAATCATTTTTCCCGCGAGCGAGAAGCCAATGTAAGTACACGGACATGTTGACAAATGTGCGGCATGCACGGGTGGGGTCAGGTGTAAGAGTAACCGACTGATAAACTGGCGTAAGAATTAGTATAAATGACAAAACTCACCGGAACGGCCTTCCATCTTAGGCACGTTGTACCTGTTCGTATTGAAACGTCAGCCGAGCAGACAGTGTGGCTGCTGTGTAACGGGACAGGACAAGCAACTCGGACGACGCGGAACTCGGCGCAGCCAAACGGAAACTGCTGTCACTAACCTCGACCCACCATCCTTTTTCAATATCTCGAAACCAGGGGGCGTCGTTTTGCATGATGGTTGTGCTGCTCTATGAACCCCGTTAACGTTCGTTAAGTTATCAGTCGTTTGATTCGTTCGAATACGCTAGCTTTAGTTAACGCCGTTACGTCATTACTTGACACGAGTCACGCTATACGCCAATGACTAGCACCTGGATTCGTTCCGACTTGCAAACACGTGATCTGTGTCAGTAAATGATCTAGACCAGAAATGACGAAGCAAATGATCTGTACTATTGAAATGATCAATTGTATCTTCTACATTACTCGAATAATAAAAGTACCAGTTGAATAGGGAAAAAACTTGCACACAAATTGGGCGAGGAAGAAATATGATGCATTCACTTGATATATTTGGTGTGTCATATTTATTTGTGTGCATTTCTTCCCTTGACTGGTATAGGTATGTGTTTTATCATTCAGAGAAAGCAGGAAGAACACAGTCTCTACAGATACTAGGAAAATGAATGTTAAAATTTAACAATAAGAATTTATCAGTGTTTTTTCACTTAAATTTAAGAAACTATCGACATTTTTATTAACTTTGTCTTGATTTGTTTAATTTATTTAAATTTTGTCTGCGCCGATGACAAAAAATTTATAATTTTGAGATGTCGGGTTTCGCCGATGTGGCTGCAGTATCGTCAATCTTTTGAATATTCTGTTAATGCATTATTTGAATTGAAGATCTGAAAATATAAAACTACATTTAACTAATTTACCATCTATAAATATTTTCTGTATCAAAACTTGATCATAAACTTTGAAAACCACAAATTTCAAGAATGTAAATTCTATACCAATTATCGGAGTAATATATAATCTATGTTATTTAAATAGGAAGGATGACACTAGACCTAGCCCACATTAAGTATTTGTGTGTCGTAACACCAGGAAATAAATAAGTTTTTAATGACATCTAATAGTAAGTGAAAAAAAAAAAAAAGATATGGCTTGAACTTGTATTCTGTAATATTTGTACAGCTGCTATGTTAAAATAGTTTTATTTTAATCCAGTTAAATCCAGCTGTTAATATTTGAAAATAAAGAATTTTCAATTATTTTAAAACTAGAAGGTAAAGATGCAAGAACAATAATTAGAAAGAACATGTTTACATATCCATCCTCTCTACTTATTAAGAAATGTTTACAAACTTGTAATGCTGTTTTTTTCCTTCCTTTTTTCCGTGATGATGCCAAGTTCGTATTTATGTAATCATTCTTAGTATAATACTTGAGATTTCTGTCAGCTCATTCATCACTGATTTTTATCAGTAATCTAAAAGATGATCTCGAACTAGTCTTTTAAGATTACTGATGCAAATTGTTTGTATTAGAGATGACAGATGAAGTTAATGAAATAGTTTCTTCTTGACTTTTAATAATAAACATAATGAATAAAAATTACCTTTAATTTTATTGTCAAATATAATATTCGTAATTATGAAACAAACTCCACTTTTGATTTTAAACATGCCAGTTCTTTGCGAACTAAAATAAATTCCATGCCATGCGTGACATTTGATAGTTACGGCTTTATAAATTTGCTGATTGCTTCTTTCATGCTAGAATGCTTAGATGTGAAAATTTTCCAAGTTCATTGTTATGTATTGTTTTGGGTTAACCCGTTTCAAAAATCTCTTTGACGTGTATTAATTAAAGAAAAAAAATTTCTTTAAAAAGATTAGATGTTCTCGGTTTAATATTTAGTTGGCTACTCTGTATCATGAATGTAAAATAAATAACTAAGACAAATTTGAGAAATATTCCTGTTGCATGAAATAAGTTAAAAATAGTTGCAATTATGTTGTTCAAGGTTTTAACAGAATGGGATAGTAATGGATGGATAAACATTTTTGAAGATGTCATTAAATAAACAAGTGTCAATCAAATTAAACACTCAAGGTGTTTAGATATATTGACACATAGTAAGAGGCAAGTACTCAAAATTGTTTATTTCTGGTATTTATTATTACTTAATCATACAGTTATTGAAATGCAATATAAATTATAAAGCAAAACATAAAAAACAGTAAAAAAAATTTAAAAAATCAACTTCTAATTTTAATAAAGCATGAAAATATTTTTATGAAAAGGTTGATTTTTTTTAAAATTTAATTTAATGTATTGTGACCAAGCAAAAAATATTTCTTGGAGAAAAAAGTTTTATTGTATTTTCTTCTATTTTCTAACTTACATTACAAATAAAAATATATAATATACAGTTCATTATAATAATAAAATTATATTTTAATGAAATAAAATATTTTTTAAAATACAAAAACTTTTAAATATTTTAATCAAGTTTCATATCAAATGTTTTTATAACTGGAAGAGTATGATTTTATAGATTGGAATGCATTCATAACTAAAAAATTTGTAGAAAAACAGGCTTTAAAGTAAAAAAAAAAAAACATAAATTTAATAATCAGAATTTTAAATAATATATTAAATTTCCATAATTTATATAAAATTAAAATATTATCTGTTAATATCCTCAAATTTTCATGGATGGTTTGATCTGAATATTCTATATTAGGCCCTATCCTTCACAGAATCCATTCCATTGTGGACCCGACTAAACTCGTAAGTGGCATGGAAAAAAAAGGCATTCTTATTCCTCAAAGAATAGAAAGAGTTTTTAAAAAGAAGCTACTCAAGGTTGAAATATATAAAAATTTAATTTAAAATATTTTTAGCTAACTATAAATAATATTTTGATATACAATTTATTTAAAGAATATTCTTATAATTCTGCCTATATTTAAAGCACTAAACAAAGTTTTTAACTGTGCTGCAAATATGGTTTAATGGAAACTATAATGATTCATAAAACAGGTTGACCTAGATATGGTGAATGTATTGTGTAAATTTACTTAAGTAAATTAATTTTTTGTGTAACAAGAATATAGATTACAATTTAAAAATATGTAAATTTAAAAGATTTTTTTGTTTATAATTCAATTATCATATTAAAATTTAATATAAGAATTTTTTAAGTAATGATTCAATTAGAATCTTTGTTAACTTTTAAAAAAATTGTTTAATTATAGTTAAGTATTTATTTACTTAAATAGAAAAAAATAATAGTATGGTAACTTTGTTTGTTATTAATTAAAAAACTTTGTTGTTGCTTAAAGAGTATTTTCATGCTTGAGTTACCTGAAATTTTTTAATAATGTTATGATATCAGAAAAAGGTTTATCTGGAAATTTGAGAAAGTTCACATGAATAAAATTTTGAATAATTTAAATTTATTTTTTTAAAAAAAACTGCATCTAATTCTAATAAAATAAATAGAAAATTAAAATTTTCCAATCTCATTTATTTCTAATGAGGAACTACAAAGCAATCTGGTGATTTATATTGACAAATTAAAAAGAAGAAAAAAACACTGATCTACATTCCATTCGTATGCCTCATGAATTCAAATTACTGTTTTCTATCAAAATTAAGATGCAAATTGAATGTTATCTCTTCTTAACTTTTTAAATGTATTAATTCTGACAAGTTACACAACTAATTTATTGAACTTTGAACTTTCTTAGTATATTCTTAATTAACAATATATATAGAACTTCTTTTATTTAATTTGTTAAAGATTTATAAGATTATATATTTTATATTAAAGTTTCTAATTTACTACTGATATGAAATTTGATAACATAAATTCATACATGTATCCATATGCTACATAACATGCACCTGATCGATGACTTAAAAATATTATTTTCATGAAATTGTTTAGATTTTTATATAATTTTAACTATTGAAACATTATAAGATAATAATGTATTGTGTTTTTTGTAATTGAACAGGTGGAAGGTTAACATAATACCATTTGGTGAGTTAACAAAATAATATTCCTTTACAATATTAATTGGATAATAATTCACTGTGCCAGAATCATATTATTATAGAGAAATCATGAGATCAAAAATAATCCTAGTAAGTAGATGTATTGTTAAGTTATACTCTACATAATTAATGTTACTGTAATCAAATTAAATTCTAATTTTCCTGTGTATAAATTTTTCCAACTAAACAGAAAATGACATAATGGATTGTTTTCAAGCAGTGAATACATTAACTGTTTGACATCATTATGTCATCATTTTAACCTTAACATTTTCATAATTGCTTGAATATTCATTAGATAAAAATATAAATGAGAATTTCAAAGCTTTTAATATATATTATGTTAAAATAAACAGTTTATCTTTTCATATTAGTGTCAAAGATGAAATGTATTATAAATGTATTGTATTGTAAATTTATTCATCTAACTTAGTGTTTAGTTATCGACTGTCCTCTTTTCTTGTGATTGAGGGACCTATTATTAGATTTTTCTGTACCCATTTTTTGCTTCTATTCACTTGATAACAATTATTAAATATAATTACTAAAGATAAAAAGCATTTTAATAACAGCAACAATTATGTAAAATATATTTATTTTAGATTTTTTAAGAAATGAATAAATATTGCCAGAGTAATATTCAATTTTGTAAAAATGTTTACATTGATAATATAATGCATATTCTATTAAAGAAAATAGGCCAGTCTTTCTGTTATGTTAAATTTTATATATAATAAATGTTGAAAAAAATTGAATAAATCTAGAGTTTACTGGGAAAGAACTGTAGTATGCANAAATTATTAAAAACTCAAATACGTAGTTTTTTTCAACGATTTTCGTTTTAAAAATCGAATTAAAATTCAGTAAAAGTAAATGTACTTTTTAAGACTATCGCTCGAACGATTTTAAGAAAATATTTAAAAGCAATTAAGTAAAACTCTTAGCGGGAACATTAGAAAAGGATCGAAATCTGTTGATTTCCAACGCTAATTACACCATATATCTGGAGGAGAAGAATTTTTAAAAGTAGAAAAATTGAGCAATTTATCCAAAGGCATTATTTTAGATAGATTAAAGGGAGATTTTTCAAAATATATAAAAGACACCGATTAAAATCTGTTTAAAACGTAATGGATCTTTCAACTAAAATTATCAGATAGCAGCGTGCACAAGTTCTTAATTTCCGCATAAATCGAGATAACAATTTTCGAGTCATTCAACTCTTGAACAGTTAATGTTGGCATGTTTGAAAATGCATAACACAACCTCTAATAGATGAGTAAAAACTCAAAATTATTATTGACTGTGATGGAGCCTAAGAGATTTCGAGGGGTTGTTCGTCCTTGAACGAATGATATAAGGATGTGACAAGTATAATTTTCTTAAGAAACGAAAGGAATTTCCTGTATCAGTCTATACGAGGAGGAGAGGAAAAAAAGAAAGAAAAAAAGGACAGAGAAAGATGAGTCGTATCACTTCAATAATGCTACAGTTTTGTTTTTATATAAATAAATACAATTTTTCTCATGAAGTGAAACAACATGTGTAGGTTTTTTTAAATAATATTATTATTAATATTATTATACTGAGAGAAAGAATATCCACGACGTGCGCACAGATGTCGACTGTACTTCAGAAAGGGCAGGTGGAGATGACAATCAATCTCTGCTACACAAAAGCGATAGACCAACTCACTCTTCCTCTGTATAATCCCACGACCTTCAAACATAACCAA